GTTATCTTCCTTATCTCCTCCTTGTCGTCGTCTTCTCCTTCTCATCCTTTCATTATCATCATCTTCTTCTTCTTCTTCTTCTCCTCCTCCTCCTCCTCTTCTTCTTCTTCTTCTCGCCATCTGCTTCTTCTCCTCATCTTCCTCCTCCTTTCGTCATCTTCTATTTCTTCTTCTCCTCCTCCTCCTCCTCGTCTTCTTCTTGTCCTCGCCATCTTCTTCTAATCCCCATTTTCTTCTCCCTCTCCTCCTCGTCACCCTCTCCGTCATGTCCGTCCTTGTCGCGCGGCTGACACGTCAGCACGCACGATCTTTTTTTTTTTTTCCATATTATTTCTTCTTCTTCTTCTTCTTCTTCTNTCTTTTTTTTTTTTTCCATATTATTTCTTCTTCTTCTTCTTCTTCTTCTCCTCCTCTTCGTTATCTTCCTTATCTCCTCCTCGTCGTCGTCTTCTCCTCCTCTTCCTTTCATCATCATCATCTTCTTCTTCTTCTTCTCCTCCTCCTCCTCCTCCTCTTCTTCTTCTTCTTCTCGCCATCTGCTTCTTCTCCTCATCTTCCTATTCCTTTCGTCATCTTCTATTTCTTCTTCTCCTCCTCCTCCTCCTCGTCTTCTTCTTGTCCTCGCCATCTTCTTCTAATCCCCATCTTCTTCTCCCTCTCTCCCCGTCATGTCCGTCCTTATCGCGCGGCTGCCACGTCAGCACGCGCGATCTTTTTTTTTTTTTTCCATATTCTTTCTTCTTCTTCTTCTTCTTCTTCTTYTTCTTCTTCTTCTTCTTTTTCTTTTTCTCCTCCTCTTCGTTATCTTCCTTATCTCCTCCTCGTCGTTGTCTTCTCCTCCTCCTCCTTTCATCATCATCATCATCTTCTTCTTCTTCTTCTTCTCCTCCTCCTCCTCTTCTTCTTCTTCTTCTTGCCATCTACTTCTTCTCCTCATCTTCCTATTCCTTTCGTCATCTTCTTTTTCTTCTTTTCCTCCTCCTCCTCCTCCTCGTCTTCTTCTTGTCCTCGCCATCTTCTTCTAATCCCCATCTTCTTCTCCCTCTCCTCCTCGTCACCCTCCCCGTCATGTCCGTCCTTGTTGCGCGGCTGCCACGTCAGCACGCGCGATCTTTTTTTTTTTTCCATATTCTTTCTTCTTCTTCTTCTTCTTCTTCTTCTTCTTCTTCTTCTTCTTCTCCTCCTCCTCTTCGTTATCTTCCTTACCTCCTCCTCGTCGTCGTCTTCTCCTCCTCCTCCTTTCATCATCAGCATCTTCTTCTTCTTCTCCTCCTCCTCCTCCTCTTCTTCTTCTTCTTCTTGCCATCTTTCTTCTCCTCATCTTCCTCCTCCTTTCGTCATCTTCTATTTCTTTTTCTCCTCCTCTTCTTCTCCTCCTCCTCCTCCTCGTATTCTTCTTGTCCTCGCCTTTTTCCTCTAATCCCCATCTTCTTCTCCCTCTCCTCCTCGTCACCCTCTCCATCATGTCCGTCCTTGTCACCCTCCACGTCATGTCCGTCCTCGTCACCCTCCCCGTCATGTCTTTCGTCATCTTCTTTTTCTTCTTCTTCTCCAACTCCTCCTCCTCCTTTTCTTCTCGTCATCCTCCTCCTCTTCTTCTTCTTCTTCTCGCCATCTTCTTTTTCCTCTCCTCTTTTTGTTCTTGTATTTCTTCTTCTTTTCTCCTCGCCCTCCATCTCCTCTTCTTCTCATTCATCTGTCCTCGTCCTTATCCCTTCTTGCACTCCTTCATGATTCTTCATCTTCTTCCCTCCTCCTCCTCCTCCTCCATCTCTTCTTCTTGTTCTTCCCCTTCCTCCTGCCAGCGTCCTCCATGTGTTTTTTTTTTTTTTTTTTTTTACATATTTTCGTCTGTCACACCTGTGAACCGCGTTGTGCATGCGCAGGACCGCAGCTGCCGCGCCTGCCGGAGGCTGGATCCCTGCCACGTGAGATGTTGCCACGTCAGCAGGTGACACATCGACCTCCACGTCAGCAGCCGCCACGTCATCAAACAGCCCCAGCAGTTGCCACGTCAGCGACCTCCACGTCAGCAGCCGCCACATCAGCGGCTGCCACGTCAGCAGGTGACACAACAGCTGCCACGTTAGCAGGTGACACAGCTGCCACGTCAACAGCCGCCACGTCAGCAGCTGCCACGTGAGAAGTGGCCGCCCACCACGTTTGCTGTCTGGTGACATGTCGGACGAGGGGCAGAAGGAGCCATTCGAGGAGGACATGACCTGCCCAAGGGACCACGTGGTGTGGACTTGGGTGACTCCTGGGAAGATTCTACCGGGCGATTCTTGCGGGTCGAGAAGGCTGCGCTGCAAGATCTGCAACAAGGAGTACAAAGGGAACCGGAAGCGTGCGTGGGAGCACTTCATTCTGGCGAGGGTTTCAGCCAGGTGTCCGGGTTCGAACCTCTCCATTTGGAAGAGGCTGCATCGCATCGGTGCGCAGCTGCCACCGGATTTGCTGGCGAGGGTGCAGATGGCGCTGGAGTAGGAGAGGGATGACGACAACGACGTTCCAGACGTGGCAGGTGCTGGGCCTGCTGGCGAAGAGGGGAGAGGTGGGATTGCTGATCAGCCTGAGGAACCATGTGGTGGAGAGGGTGTGGAGGGATTGGATGAGGGGACGAGGGGTGTTGTGACAGGAGGATCTGACGGTGGAGGGAGGCCTGGGTCGTCGCAGGCTGTCATGCAGGCGGCCCGCACACGCAGGCCAGGGAGGCAGATGGGCATCAAGAGGTTCACGAAGAACCCAAGGCAGGAGGAGATTGATGACTCCTGCTGCGAGTTCTTCGTGGAGAACGCCATCCCGTTCAACGCCGCCAAGAGCAGGAGCTTCAAGAAGTTCACGCTGGCGTGTTACGGACCACAACCTGCCGCGAGCCACCCTCTTGTGCCCACTGGGTACAACCCTCTCAGGTGTCGGTTGCTGCATCGCCTCAACAACAGGTTGCAGGAGGAGGAGCAGGCGATCCGTGACGACTGGCAAGTCACAGGCTGCACGTTCATAACCGATGGGACCACAGACATTTGTGGTCGATCGCTTATGAACTACATCCTCGCAGGCCAGTCGAAGCCTATTTTCATCAAGTGCGAGGATGTTAGCGATGAGGACAAGGACTCCGCAGCCGTCGTTGCTAGATGGAAGCGGTTCTTCAGGGAGTGGGGGGTGGAGAAGATCACGGCTGTCTGCACGGACTCTTTTGCGGACAACACGAGTGCTGCGAGGATGCTGAGGGAGGACCCTGAGTTCAGCCAGATATACTGGATCCCTTGCACCGCTCACTGTATGGACCTCCTCATGCACGACCTTTGCAAGAAGGAGTGGGCGACCGAGATCATCAGCAAGGCGAACAAAGTGGTCAACTTCTTCCGGATTCACAGGTGGCCCAGATCAACGCTGAGAATGACACTTGTGAAGTTCCCGGACTTGAAATGCAGCTGCCTCCTCCGACCGGAGGCGATGAGGTTTGGGACGCACTACGTGATGCTGCAGTGGCTGGAGGTCTGCGAGAAGGCCATTAAACGGATTGTCACCGGGCAGGAGTGGGAGGCGCTGCTGTGGCGTGGGGACATCAGGGGCAAGGCGTCGTTCGTGGAGGAGGCAGTTCTTGACAGGGCCTTCTGGGCTGACGTCAAGAAGCTGACTGCAGTCATGAAGGGGCCCTATAACGTGTTGCGCGAGGTGGACAAAGATGTCCACTGCTTGTCGCGCATTTACGATATGGCCTGTCGACTGCCCGACTTTGTCCGATCGGGCCCCCTTACCGCAGAGCAGCGAGATGACATGCTGAGGGACGTCGGGAACAGGACAGACATGCTGCTCAGCCCCATCCACGCTGTTGCTCGCCTGTTGGATCCTCAGTTGAGGGACATTACTGTATTCAGTGATGTCAACCTCATGGCATAATTTGAGAGTATGGTCGAGAGGCTCATTGGAAAGAAGGGAAGCACCAGATTTGACGAGTGCATGGACCAACTTTATGACTTCCAGTTCGGGAGAGGAGTCTTCGGCACCCCACAGGCGAAGAAACGAGCTGCGAAGGACAATGCAGTTTTGTGGTGGGAGGCGCACGGGGTGGGGCATCTGGAGATCCTTGAGCTGGCGATCAGGGTCCTTTCGATCTGGACGACTTCCTCTCCTGTTGAGATGAACTAGAGCACTTGGGCTCTGGTGCAGACGAAGTGCAGGAACAAGTTGCACCACCAGCGCACCAACAAATTGGTGTCCTCACACTGGAGCTTGAGGCTCAAGAGCAAGGGGGATGAGGGGCCCACGATAGCAGGAGGGTGGTTGGGGCTCTCAGTTGACTGGGAGGACGAGGACTTGGGGGGTGATTTGGCGAATGTCGTCGAGGCCGTTGATGACTACGAGCCTGCTGTTGGGGGCGCCAGTTCTGCGGTGGGCAGCACTACTGTTCGCCACGATGTAGCTGGGCCATCGACATCGAGGTCCATGCAGAGATCAGCGCATGCGGAGGAGGTCGAGGAGGAGGAGGAGGAGGAGCAGGAGGAGGAGGAGGAGGAGGAGGAGGAGGACGAGGAGGAGGATGACATTCCCGGCGAGGAGTGGGTGGATGAGAGGTCGGACTCCGACAAGTCTTGGACGAGGAGAGACGACGCCCCGTGTGTTGGAGGCACATGATCTGGACTGCGATCCCAGACTCAGCCGCGTGGGGAGGAGCAGCAGGTGCAGGAGCAGTAGGTGGAGGAGCACGAGGAGAACGAGCAAGGGGAGGAGCAGGGGGGGGAGGAGCAGGGGAGGAGCAGGGGGAGGAGCATGGGGAGGAGGATGGGGAGGAGGAGCAGGGGGAGGAGGAGCAGCGGTTGGAGGAGCACGAGGAGGGCATGCAGTAGGGAGAAGAGCGCAATGTGGAGGGTCAGGGGCAAGAGCAGCAGGTGGGGGGCCAGCAGGTGGAGGAGCGGCACGGGGAGGGCATGCAGCATCTCAATGCGGTGCGAGCTTTTTATGATCCCAGTCGGAAGTCTCCTCTAGTCGGGCAGCACGGAGCACATCCCGGCTGTATATGGGATCCCCTCGCCTATTGTGCTCAGCGAGGCAGAGGGAGGTCCGCTACGGGACGTGGGAGAGGAGGCGCTGCACGCGCTGCAGGAGGCACAGGGCGAGGGAGGTCCGCTTCAGGACGTCCGAGAGGTCGGCCATGCAAGGACAAACAGCCCGTTGCAGCACCAGCGGCAAAAGAGTCTGATGACGACTCTGGGGAGAGTGCACCACTGCACAGGTCGAAGAAGAGGAGGACAGAGACTGCTGCAGAGGGAGAGACACATACGGAGAGAGATTAGGCAGAGAGACAGAGAGAGAGAGAGAGAGAGAGAGAGAGAGAGAGAGAGAGAGAGAGAGAGAGAGAGAGGCCCCGTTGTCTTTCACATTCCGGACCACTGTGCTTCCTGCTTGTCTTTAACTGAGGCCTTGAAAAACTCCTTTGAAGAGTTTTCGCATTGTGTTTTGTTTGTGTGCTTTCGTCTCCTGCACTACTCCTCTGAGTGTGTGTGTGTGTGT